TCCCGGCATGTTTTCTGCTGCCACTACCATTGGCTGGTCCGCTGCTGTTATGTCCTCCTCTGAACCAACTGTCTCAGGAACCTGACTGTTGAATTAAAAAACAGTTACTATAAAACTTACTAAAAGGGAAAGAAAACATTTTCTTTCAAAAAACATGTTTACATTGTACATTGTGTTTCAATTTCATGCTGGATAATAAGAGAAGCTGCAAAGTTTGTTGTATTTACTTATATAAAGCTGAGAACATGGTAAAGCATGACAATCATTTAGAAATCCTGTCTTCATATTATTTGATTCTTAGCTCTATATAATTGTTGGACTCAGTTCATACTTTTCTATGGCTTTGTCATTTTGTTTGGAGATGAAGACAAAGTGAGCCAACCACTTGATGAAAGAGTAGCGACAGTCGGACACATTACCAGGCATATCATGGCTTTCCAACTCAGATACTCTCCTAGACTCGGGTAAATCTAGAGGCCCAAACAGTTCACAACATTTTATATTTGTATAATGATTTTTTTCACACTTAATGTTACATGTAATACAAGTACTAACAAGATTTCAGCTAAAATTTGTGCAATCTTTTTTGTATAAAATTACTTAAAAGTCAAAGTATACCTGGAATGTTTTAAAAGAAAATCTCAATGCTACAGACATCATGCCATTTGTTTTTATCAGAATTATGTTAATTCATTACTCACTTTGCAAATGTCAAATACCAAAGCATTACCCACCTAATTTGGGATTATAAATATCTCTACTTTTATCAAAGGTTGGTAGTAGCCACATTAAATAGGAGGACTTAAAATTATCAAATAGAAATACAAAGCAGGTCTCCCTCATGCCTTTATTTTCCCACTCAATTTTGATCACCTGAAACAAAAATAACTTTCGATTAATCTAATTCACCATCCTTTATCATTTCATTTCACAGTCTTACCAGTTTTGTTATAAGATTTGATGATTTTTACCTCAGAAACCATATAGTAGAGTACAGCATCAAAATAATGTTTTGTTATATTTTCTGGCAACTTTTCTCCACTTCCAGGTAGAATTGGAGTTATGTCCCCTGACATAATCATCCCACTGCAACCTGCAATTACATAATTTTTCTCACAATAAAACCTGCAGATAATACATCTTCAATGATAAAAAAAATACACAAAACACAAATTCACTTCTTTTAAAACATGTATTAAACATAGACAGTCAGCACATGTTATTCACACAATGTTATCTTATTTATCCATATGTATATTTAGGTCTTTTGTTTTTTAAAAGTAATATTGTTTGGCAGCTAAATTAGAATGTTGACAGAATCAATAAAATCAAATCAAAATCAACACATCTTTCAGACAAACTAGGAATTGATATTTACTTTCTGATGCTGAATGGGATCTTCCATATAAAACATCCTGGTGGATGCCATTTCCCAGGCCTGGCACCAGTTGAAGGAATATTTCATGGCATTCCTCTGAAGCATTCTCATTCAATATCTGATACCAGAGCAGGAAAAGTCGGATGCCATCTTTCCTAATCTATAATATTATTACCCAGTTAAAAGTCCAGACTTATATACTGCATGAATAAGAATTGTCACTTTTTCTAATAAAACAGTTCAAAAAACGACTTGAACGCGAAAATTGAAAATGTCATTTGTCAAAATGAAGGATAAATAAATTTAATATACCTTTAAACCATTTCCTGGATGCAATAACTTCTTTAATATTCTTCCTAAGAAATAAAGGAATACAAAAGGTATTTATGTTAATATTTATGAATTCATTGATTGTACTACTCTCCTCAGTGCATATTTTGAGATTTTTAATTCTATAATACATATAATTGATTTCAATATCTGCATGTTATAATCCCTTCCCATAAAAAAGGTTTCACCTATATGATATTCTTACCAATGCTGTGAAACATCCATCTTTTATGTATCAGTTCAGGTAAAAGTGTGAGTATTTTCTAAAACAAATAATATATAAATTAAAGAGAAACAAATGGTTAAATTTTCATCAGAGTAAAAACTCTGTCTCTTTCTCTCTTTTACATAAGGCAAGAATGCCTCCACTGACAAGAAGTCTGTAATCAAATGCTCACTAGTAATATTCCCTCTCTAATGTGAACATACCCTCTCATGTTGACATCGAATTTGCATAAAATTAATTCCCACCCATAAAGCATGCCTTAAAAAAAGAATGTGCTAAAATTTCAGTCATCTGTGATGAGTTCTTAATGAAAAAATTTTGCATGGATAAACAGTAAGTTGGCATAATATTCAAACAAAACTGAATTCCGCCAATAAACATGCTTAAACAGAGAGTGTGCTAAATTTCAAGCATCTGCAATGAGTAGTTACTGAGAAAACTGTAACAAAAAATTTGGTAAGGGCAGACACACAGATACATGGAAAGACAGACACATATCTTTGGTTGGAGCAGGGGTATAACACCCACCCACCCCCATCCACCCCATACAGAGCGGGGATATAAATATGCATATTGAATATATCAAATACATTGACCTACCTCAAAGACAAACAGAATTACATCCAAATCCTCCCGATGGGCTCTGTTGGCTGTGAACAATACAGATGTTAAACTCATTAAAAAGCCTGACATTATGTAATATCTTCAAAATCTAATTTTTTTACGTTGTCTACATAAAGTTCACATTTACTGTTTAATACCTCTTTGTTTAAGATCTGCCTCTACTGTTGAAAAATTGTCGTTAAATATGAAATAGATATGTGAGTAATTGGCCTCAAAGAAACTCTTTGCCTCTGGTATGCTATAATTTTCTGAAATGAAAATCAATACTTTTCAATAATTTGACAAGGCATAATACCACTTCATGTACATGCTGATCTAGTAAAAACGCTTGATCACATTTGATTGGACTCTTATTTTTCCCAAAATTCAGGTAAAAATTGCTAGAAGATATGCAGATTGAATTTTTCAGAGCTTTTTATTGATTTTTAGATTGCATTAGTTCGTGGAGATGTGATTGAGCTTACAGCTTGAAAGGGTATGATTACATGTACCAAAAAGGATCCAATCATCCCCGATTGACATGTACATATACTTGTATTCTAGTTATCCTGTTGTACTTCCTAAAAGTTGGTTTTATTTTAACCAACATCACTTGACATAAATATTTATATTGCTTTCAGGAAATCCCCATGGTCCTCAAAACAACTGCAATAATACTAAATATTCAACAAGATTTTATCTCTTTATTTTCAGTATATATACATTTACAAAAATACACTAAATTCAGCTGATCTACACAAGATCATTTGTTTTTCCTGTTTCCTTCCTTAGAATTTTTCTGGAAATAAAACTTTTTATTAAAAAGTTTTTAACTTTAAAAAAAATCTTCATAAAGTAGGATAGATTTTCATTTATGTGCAAATGACCTCATTGGCTTATCCCCTATAGTTATGATTATAGTACAGACATAAAGTATGCAAAACATTTGAACTAGTTTACCGTAAGGAACTGATTCTTAAGATGTTAAGATGAAAAATATCAAACTGTTGGTTGTGAAATAAGACAATAGTTTTAATCCATAGTAAATGAGGTTAACAGATTATATAGTAAAGTATCTGTCAAAGGACATATACCGGTACTTATTAACATGAAATTAAAACCTTTGAAACTGGTAGTACTGAACCTTTTTAATCTATGGTGAAATTAAGAAATTTGAAGAGAAAATAAATTACAGTAACCTGGCATGAAAATAATTTCAAATTAATATAAATCACAACCTTATCGTTACATGAACATGTATATACCTTTTCGCTCACTTATCAGAGTTGGATTATACTTATACACCTGCTACTAAGTGTTGTATTACATCGTCATGTATGGTGCTTTTTTTTTTTTAACTTTGTTTAGTATTTGAGTCTGCATGTCTTTAAGTGTTTAATAAGTTTTTCTGATACTTTTTCCCAGTCTTCTTATCATAATCAATCTGGTATTTTACATATAAACATGATAAAAACGGGGATGTTTTCCACTGAGGTCCTCTGTCAAAAAAATATTTACAAAACAAAAATTTTCTAAAATCATTTGCAAAAATTCTGTCTACTTGAGAATGTTACTTACTATCTATATATTCAATGATATTTTTTAATGTACTTTAAATACCTTGATAACATTATCAATGTTAAATGTGAATACAGCTGACCTTTGACCTTTATAGCAAACTAGGGGGCTGGGGAGGGGGCAATATATCAAATACTTCTATTGTTCCCATACCATTCAACTTTATCTTATCAATGAACATATAAGTTAGTCCAGTGACAAGAAATTCTCTTCCTGGAGGAGTCATTGTAATATAGTGTAAATATTTTTCTATGTGTTTAGTTACTTTCAGGTACCATGCAACATTAAGTAAGGCTAACTTACAGATACCCATTTATTGTTAGATTTGCAATAGACATAGATGCACTGTGATGTTCTTTTTCCACAATTAAGATTACAGAGTAGATGTATAAACAACTTTCGACACCACCTTTAACGAAATTTTCATCTTGAACATTTACACATTTGCAACATTACCAAGTAAATGTCGGAGGTGTTTCAACCTCGTTACAGCATCTTTCTTTGGGTCCGATACTTTCTGCACGGATTTCTTTAAGTCCCCATCTTTGGTTCCTTTCCTAAACATGTCCAAAACACTAGACATTTAAAATATTTTTAAGTAAATTTCTGCAATTTCTGACATTTTCGTCTGTTTACTTGCGCATGCGTATAAATAAATTTAGAATACCAAACCCGATGTTCAAAATTTGAGGAAAAATAAATAAACTTGATGAGTTTATACACTTGTTGTGGATGCAATAAAATATTGTAAAGACAGGCATGCTTATCATTTATTATAATCAATAAAAATGTACTTTATCAATTCATTTTTTCCTAAACGCGACTCAGTTGGAGAACAACTTTCTATCACCCAAAAGCGGAAATAGGGGAAATAACTGAGATCCATAAAAAGAAGAAGGAAGAGACGATTCGCTGTAAGTTTTTAAAATTCTGACAGATGAGGTGTGAATGAGCTGGAACGATAATTCGTCAGCAGAGTCCGACAGGGCCTCGGAAACCAAACCACTAATGGATGGGTGTGTGGACTCAACTCGGAGGCATTTGTACGAAGATATCAGATCGAATGACACAACAGCAACTGAAACTGAACAGGTTTAAAAACATTTGACAAATGATATTTGCGTTGAAGGCAAAAAAGAGTAAAAGTCTTGTGTACAAAAGAAATATGAACCTATTAACATATGGTAACTCTGTCCTGTGTTCTAATTCTTGTAAATAAAAGCAAAATGAAAAACGTGAATCATTAAAGTGTCGAATACAAATATTTTTCAGGTCCAGCACAATGTCTTGATTAAGCTATATAGCTTTATAAAGCTATATAGCTTTATTAAGCTATTTAAAATAGCTTAATAAAGCTATTTATATGCAGTTTTTAACAAAAACGTTTTTAGTGAGAAATAAACAAAAAGTCGCAAGTATTTGACTATCCATATATGTACTTTGGGCTATCAAAAAAACAACCTAAATCATAGAAAGTTCTAACATTGCTGTTGTTGAATACTTTTAAGCAAAAGATGATTTTCCATTGTTTGAGTAACTGTACTAGGGGAAAGTGTCCTATTGAGTGCGGTGAGGCGTGGATAAGTATGATTGCTTCTCATTGTGTTGAACTGTTACCAATCAATTATCCTGTTGGCCCAAACTGACCTCCTTTATAATTTCATTCAAGAAATAACTGTGTGGTCACTCATCAATAGCCCCCAAACTTTGAAAAATTTGAGTACAAAGTCTCTCAACGAGACACAATTTGGTGAGTGATTTTTACATGCATTGTATTCAGAAGAGTTCAAAGTTTAATATTTCCACTGCACCAAGGTGCGACTTTTTGCACATGCTGAAAAAATAAAACATTTGAAATTTTTTTTTTATAAAATAGCTTAATTAAGCTATTCCGAATAGCTTAATAAAGCTATATAGCTAAATCAAGCTATATAGCTTAATCAAGACATTGTGCCGGACCTGTTTTTATTTAAATGAAAAAAATAATTTCATATATTGAAGGATGATTATGAAATCCTTGTATAGGTTTGCAAATGTTTCATGAACAAGTAAAACAACATTATTATAAAAAATGGTTTTGAAACTTTTGTTTAGTTGAGATGGGTGTGTGCATTGCCTTCATTATCTCTTAAGTGTAAAGATTACTCTTTTCTTTGTATGCAAGAGTTGTAATGTGTATCTAAAGATCATGTAATAATTTTCTGTGTTTTCCAGAATCTTTGTGAATTTAAATTTTGGTCTATGTTTGAGGCAAGTGCTGACAAATAACATTTTACTTTGATTTACATATCACTATAGGCTGAGGAGAACCATGACAGACAGATGAACACTCCCCCAGCACGAGACGGGACCACTGTCCAAAGGCGGTCAGCACGGTCTAATGATGAAGAAGAGGAGGATACACTACTGTATGGGGCCAAACATGTCATTATGCTGTTTGTACCTGTGACGCTCTGTATGGCAGTAGTTGTAGCTACCATCAGTTCCATTACGTTCTACACAGATAAAGGAGGTTACCTGTAAGACTGTCTTCTGTTATTGAATACTGCTTTCAATTGATAAATTTTAGTCCAAAAATCTATATAATTTTGTTAGTAACAAGCAGATGTAGTTTTTTGCATTTGATTTTTTTCTCTTCTATGTTGAAAACTGAACCAATTGAGTAAATAATGTAATCATTATCCTTGTTAATAACTGAAAAATCACTCATATTTTACATGGAGAGAGTAATTTAAGTGTCATGGACAATATTTCAGAGTGTATACACCGTTCCATGATGGAGACAAAGCTGATGCTGACACTGGAACCAAAGTCTGGCAGTCTGTGGCCAACGCTCTCATTCTACTGGGCGTTATATGTGTTATGACAATTGTACTCCTCTTGCTGTACAAATTCAGGTGTTATAAGGTGGGAACAATGGATAAAAGTTTACTCTACACTATAAAAGAATAAATTCTAATAGAATAATTAGATATGGAAGTAAAATGCATGTCATCAGATTTAAATTTATATTTAAAAACAGGTGCACTCAAAGACAAGGTCCTTAGTAAAAATGTTATTATCTAGTTTCAATTACTCTAATACCCGTATTTGATATAAGGTCTCGAGTATTTTATTTAAAACTTTATATTATGAATGATACTTATTGTATTAGTGTCAATGTTGAATATCTATTTCATAGGTAATCCATGGCTGGCTGATTACATCATCACTAATGCTTCTATTTTTATTTTCCTACATTTATCTGGGGTATGTTTTACTCATTTTCTTTTTTTTTTATTCTTAAGAGATTATTTAACCACAATTGCTATATATTATGAAAAGCCAAAGAAGACAACAAGTTACCTACTTAATTTTGAGCTTTCCTATCAAATGCTATTACTTTTTAATGACCAGGTATTCACACTGATGTTGATGTTAACTTTTTTTCTTCCCTGTTTTTTTTTCCTTCAGTGTTTTTAAGTTCTGTTGAATGGGAGACAAAAAAAATGATTTGGAGGAATAATAATCACATTCATCCTATGTACAATGTTATTGTGTCATATTAAATATACAGCAAGGTAAACTGAAGCGTAATATTGTTTTTGTTTTTAGGGTGGTGCTACAGGCCTATAATGTTGCAATGGATTACATCACTGTGGCTCTATTGATGTGGAATTTTGGGGTCGTAGGCATGATTTGTATCCACTGGAAGGGACCCTTATTTTTACAGCAGGCCTATCTCATTGTCATCTCCGCACTGATGGCCCTTATCTTCATTAAATATCTACCAGACTGGACCACTTGGGTGGTGCTAGGTGTCATGGTTGTGTGGGGTAAGTGGTTATTGTCACCTTCTAAAAGTGAAAAAAAAAATTTTCATGTATAATGGTAGTATTGCTTGCTAAAACAGGTATGCCCAATGGCAAATTGGGAAGTAATTTGTCTAAGTTCTGTTTTTAAAAAAGTTGTTATTTACTTGAAAACAAGGACAAATTTCCTTGATTAATAATTAATTCAAAAAATAAAGATTTTAGTTTAGATTCAAGCAATTATGTGAACAAAATTAGTAATACTGTAGGTATAAAGTAAGTTAAACCATTTTTATTTTTCATTTTCATTACTTCAGCCCAGAAAGGTACATTTATATATCACAAAAGAAAGCATTGACAACAAGGAAGGTGATTTCTTTCAGATTTAGTAGCAGTGCTTTGTCCAAAGGGTCCTCTGAGAATTTTAGTAGAAACAGCACAAGAGAGGAACGAACCAATATTCCCTGCACTTATTTATTCCTGTAAGTATAAATATCAGAAAACAAACTTTTTTTCTGATTTCAAATTATTTATGATATTTGCACAATGTATATCACAACATACTGTTACAGTGATATCACAGTTGAAACTTAACAGAAATAAGACTTTCATTTCAGTTGAATTTATAAAACAGTTGATATATTTCTTTAAGCCACTGTGGTTTGGTCTGTTGTTGGAATGGCTAAGGATGGATCTGACAAAAAGAAAAACAAGAAAAAGAAATCCAAAAATCAAGGTGACCTCTTTTTATCATTTAAACTCTTAAAAGTTTCATCTTATTTAGACAACAAAAATTTACATGTATGTTCTTTCGAAAAATTTGAATCAGTTTATTAATATAGATGCATCAAATGGTTAATGATGTTCAAAAGTAAATACAATCTTTTTGGTCCTAGTAATTATGAGCCCTAAGTAAGTTTAACATACACTTTCTCAGTAGGTTAGAATTAGCATCTCTCAAGTGATAAAGTGAATTTCAGTAATTAGAATCAATGTTTAATACATTGTAGCAAAAGAGGTAAATGATTTTTAAAAAGTATATTTACATAGTTTTTGAGGCTATTTTATTATTCTGATGCCATTATAAACGTAAAGTACCTTACACTGCAGCACCAGCAGCCACAGCTGCTCCCGATCATTCCGAGGAGGAAGATGATGGCGGATTTTCAGAGGAAAGACCTCCCAGACATTTGTCTCAGAGCTCTGAAGAAACTGCCAGGGTTGGTCAATCAGAAACCCCCATTATTTTGTAATGTTAAATCTGTATCCTCTCCCAAGCTTGCATTTGTAATTTTACATAGGTGTCCAGGAGACACAATATCTTATTTCTGAAGTATAGGTAATATGAACAAGAGGCCCAGGGGCCACAGCGCTCACCTGAGCACATCGGGCTTGAATTTACCCCCCCCCCCTTTCCAGGCGTTCATCATTTGAACAAACTAGAATCTACACTATTTGAGGATGATTCCATATAAATACCCTGGGTATCACTAATCAAAGCTTTGAAGTACTTGAAAAGAAGATTTTAAAAGGTTTCCCTATAAATCCCTATGTAAAACTTGGGTCGGCCATTTTGGCCCCACCGTATCCCCAGGGCCGGGGGTTATGATTTGAAAAAACGTGAGTCTACACTACCTGAGGATGATTCCACATGAGTTTCATCTTTCCTGGCTCAGTGGTTCTGGAGAAGAAGATTTAAAAAAAAAATTCCTATATATACCTATGTAAAACTTGGGTCGGCCATTTTGGCCCCATCCTTGCCCCGGGGGTCATGATTTGAAAAAAACTTGAATCTACACTACCTAAGGATGATTCCACATGAGTTTCATCTTTCCTGGCCCAGTGGTTCTGGAGAAGAAGATTTTAAAAGATTTTTCCTATATATTCCTATGTAAAACTTGGGTCGGCCATTTTGGTTCCACCCTTGCCCCGGGGGTCATGATTTGAACAAACTTGAATCTACACTACCTGAGGATGATTCCACATGAGTTTCATCTTTCCTGGCCCAGTGGTTCTGGAGAAGAAGATTTTTAAAGTTTTTTCCTATATATTCCTATGTAAAACTTGGGTCGCCCTTTTTGGCCCCACCGTTGCCCCGGGGGTCATGATTTGAACAAACTTGAATCTACACTACCTGAGGATGATTCCACATGAGTTTCATTTTTCCTAGCCCAGTGGTTCTGGAGAAGAAGATTTTTAAAGTTTTTTCCTATATATATTCCTATGTAAAACTTGGGTCGGCCATTTTGGCCCCACCCTTGCCCCGGGGGTCATGATTTGAACAAACTTGAATCTATACTACCTGAGGATGCTTCCACATGAATTTCATCTTTCCTGTCCTAGTGGTTCTGGAGAAGAAGATTTTTAAAGATTTTTCCTATATATTCCTATGTAAAACTTGGGTCAGCCATTTTGGCCCCACCCTTGCCCCGGGGATCATAATTTGAACAAACTTGAATCTACACTACCTAAGGATGATTCCACATGAGTTTCATCTTTCCTAGCCCAGTGGTTCTAGAGAAGAAGATTTTTAAAGATTGTTCCTATATATTCCTATGTAAAACTTGGGTCGGCCATTTTGGCCCCACCCTTGCCCCGTGGGTCATGATTTGAACAAACTTGAATCTACACTACCTGAGGATGATTCCACATGAGTTTCATCTTTCCTGGCCCAGCGGTTCTGGAGAAGAAGATTTTTTAAAAATGCCATTAATTTTTAACAAATTCATGATTATCTCCCCTTGGAAAAGGACGTGGCCCTTCATTTGAACAAACTTGAATCCCCTTCACCCAAGGATACTTTGTGCCAAGTTGGGTTGAAATTGGCCCAGTGGTTCTTGAGAAGAAGATGAAAATGTGAAAAGTTAACGACAACAACGACGACAACAACGACGACAACGACGACAGACAACGGACAAATTTTGATCAGAAAAGCTCACTTGAGCCTTCGGCTCAGGTGAGCTAAAAACCATTTTTTCTACAGGCAGTACGGGCTGCTAGAACTTTAGGAGATTCAGAAAATGGTCAGCGACGAAGTACAGAGAGAAATCAGGCTACAGAGGAGGAAGAGGAGGAAGAAAGTAAGAATTAAAGTGGTCATTTACCTGTAGATAGAAAGAAAAGTAAGACCCATAGCTGAAAATTAAAGTGGTCATTTACCTGTAGGTAGAAGGGAAAGTAAGACCCACAGCTAAAAATAAAAGTGGTCATTTACCTGTAGATAGAAGGGAAAGTAAGACCCACAGCTAAAAATAAAAGTGGTCATTTACCTGTAGATAGAAGGGAAAGTAAGACCCACAGCTAAAAATAAAAGTGGTCATTTACCTGTAGGTAGAAGGGAAAGTAAGACCCACAGCTAAAAGTAAAAGTGGTCCATTACCTGTAGATAGAAGGGAAATTACATCTTTACTAGCCAAGGGTTTTCGATCCACACCACTCCCCATAAATGGAGAGTGGGGCGGACCAAAAACCCTTGGCTAGCGAAGATGGGAAATTAAGATCCACAGCTGAAAATTAAAGTGGTCCATTACTAGAAGGGAATGGTTATAGGTATTGGAGGAAAGTGAGACCCACAGCTAAAAATAAAAGTAGTCAATTATTTGTGTATAGAAGGGAATGGTTACAGGTATAGCAAAGATTAATATATAAATTTTGCATGGGTATAATGCCAGTGCAAGTCTCAGTGGAAAGTGCTTAAAAAATATGGTAGATAATGTCCATCATTGAAGAACTTGCATATGAAACAGGAATGCTGACATTGGTTATTTTCTCATGAAGCCAAGGTCAATGCAACAAGTGCATTTAAAAAAAAAACTTTATTCATTACTTCCCCTTCTCTCCCCCACTCAAATATGTGGGGAGTTAATAAAAGAAGCTTTTAATGCTAAGCACTTCTAAGCCAAAGGTTCACAGACATACTTTTGGAGTTTTATGGCAAACTCTGTATCCGAACATTTCAGTTAATAAGAGGCTTATAATCATTAAATTTTGACAATTAATGCTTATTAGGTTTTAGATTGTGATAAAAAAAAAGAAGGTCATTGTGATCTACTTTTAGAATTGAAAGTGATGGGATAATATCATTTATCAGAAGAGCAAACAGAAGAGGCTCCTACCCCCATTTTTTAAAAATAACATCTGAATAGACAAATATTTGTTTAAGTATATAATATATTATTATTGGGAGGTATGCACTCCTTTCTTTTTTAAAAAAAGAGAAAATTGAAGTTGCCCCTTCAAAGACTTTACCGATTATTGCTCAGATTCAGTGTAGAATTGTGCATGTATCCTGCAGCAGTCTCATTACATACACGTGAGCATTTAACACAGTTTATCTATTTGTTTATCAGGAGGAGTGAAGTTGGGGCTGGGTGACTTTATATTTTATGGTGTACTTGTTGGCAAGGCTTCCTCCAATGGAGATTGGAACACCACCCTTGCCTGTTTTGTAGCCATTCTTATTGTAAGTACATCTTTATTATCAATCTGTATATCAGTTCTTGACTTGGGAGGAACCCATATGTAAAGTGCCAAAACACTTAAAACTTGTATTGTTCATTGATATAACTGTATTGCTACATTCTCAGTTGTTAGTTTTATTGTTTTTCAACATCATTTTTTGTAGATTTTAAAATGCTAAATGTTTCAAGAGTATTTGAATGTGTATTATTGTACAATATCAAAATTTAGATCGTGAGAAATGGAAAACAAGAAGGAAGTGATGTACTACAGTGTATATTTTCTATCTTGATTTATGAGAAATCTATATGTTACAGTTGTATATCAAATTTAAACACTCCTATCTTACTTGTATATATTTTTTTTATCATTGAAAGCAAACAATAGTATGGTAGCTTTTTTATTTTGGTTCATTGAACAAACTGCTGACTTGATTAAAATAATCCATTCCTTTGACTAGTGTTTTGACACTGACCAATATTTTGTCCTTTTTTTCAGGGGCTGTGTTTCACGCTTCTGCTGCTTGCTATTTTTAGAAAGGCGTTGCCAGCTTTACCCATCTCCATTACGTTTGGACTTATTTTTAATTTTACCACTAGTCTTCTGGTGCAGCCATTTGCTGACCGATTGTCTGCATCACAGGTGTACATCTAATATCAGTGGTCAGTGGCCACACAGAGGGGCAACAATAACTATGTCATAAACTCTGTTCTGTCATAAATATCATCCCTTTTATAATATTATCAATATAAATACTTTATTTTTGGTGTTATATATGTATATATATTGAACAAGGTATCATTAAGTTTAAATACTCTTGAGAGATGCTTGTACTGTTTTCATCTATTGAATTACATGAATTGCTCTCAAAGCAAAACACTCTTATTTTAAGATTTAGCTATAGGTTTAAGTGCAAGCAGTACTTACATGTACAAACGTTGAAGTACGAAATTTAAATTATATGATGAGAAATAAATATTGAGTTCGTGATGATCAATATCAGTTTGCCACATTGAATTTTTAGAGTATTGGTATTATTTTTTTTTATTTGAACAGATCAATTGTGCATTCAAATTAATGTCTTTGTTTTTGATTTCGTCAGTAAATCGACAAATTCCATTAGTGTTCATTGATATTGGTTGTGATTTTCGAAGTACATTAGCTGAAAAAAATAATCAGCAAATTAATTAGGAAATGAGGAGTGTTGAAACATGCCCTGTGATAAGTAGATTAAGGAGAGCATCCCATTAAACCTTGTCTCACGGAAGTGCACAATTTATCACCCGGAAGGGGATTATAACGGGCACCTGTCCACAGCGCGGCAAAGATCAACAGGTTTTCTTAACAAGGTTTTTTTTTCCAGCAGGTGAAATCGAACGGTACACTTTGATTTTAAAGTTCAAATTCATTATTGATGTAAATTACCAAAAGTTCTGTCTCCATTGCCAAAACTTGTTATCGAGTTTAAATTGCCGAATATACACCGGTATACATGTACGAATACACTACATTGGAAAAATGTTTGGCAATATTCTTTTTCGTTTAAAGGCCGCACTTTTAGACTGAACCGTAACAATGCATATATACTAAAAGGATTAAACGGGGCACAGATTTGGTTGAATAGAACTTATTAGTGGATTACTAGCTGAAATTGGTCATTGGAAATGTTGTCTGACGTATAAGTCAACGAAAGTCCAAAACCCAAATCTGCTACTGGTGTCGGAAACTTATCTATTTGAGAAGGCGAAATTTGCAAAGAAAAACGCAGACTTTGAATATTCAGGGACTTGGCAGTGTTTCATTAGTATAGCATTCCCTGAGATTAATGAACGTGCATATATATTAAAGGGCGTCATTCTATCGTATATATCTACGCGTAAAAATCCGCTTTTCTATTGATACCTGGAAGGCCATTGCTCTTTTGGTTTACAATTCTGTGACCTTACCAGGGGAAATGAAAGACTGATAAAGCAAAATGGGCAATCTGAAATCCAAACTTAAACGCTCTAAGAGCAAATCGAAAAAGTCAACCAATCTTCCAGAGTCTACTTCCACCAAAAAAGCTGTAGATCCGCGCCTACCTTTTTCAAATTATCGACAGATTTTTAATATTCGGAATGGCTGGAAATCCGTGTCCCGGGTGATGGAGGATACGGCAAAGGAGACTCTTATCAGGTAACGTTAATGCCACTTGATTTTAAGAGAAGGGGGAGGGGTAAAAAAAAGGGAGGGTATAAAGTTGTGTTTGGTTTTTGCACCACGTTGGATTTTTAATTTTCTAAATGGTTATTCCTACAACTTTTATGCAATACTTATACATGACAAAGAAAACCCCCTTTTTGGCACGATGGTTTCATAGGTTCTGGGAAAAATAGCATTGGCGTCGGAAGCAAATTGAAAGTGGGGGGGGGGGCTAAGTGTAAGAAAATTTTTTTTGTACCTCCAAAAAAACCTGACAAGCAAAAAAAAAAAAAAAGAAAAGGATTTCAATGTCTATACTGGGAACGCCTATGAATAGTGTCGGAATATTAACGGGCCATGCTTATTATTAAATCCAAACAAACTGTTAAAGTTCTCCATTATACCAAGCCTTTTAAACTTTGCAGATAGAATGAATTAAAATCTATTTTAGTGGTAAATTTGACAATGTTTGTTCAAAAGATATTTGATATCCAAATATACCTTTCCTATGTTTACCCATTCAGAGAAAATGCAGGTTTATTACCGATATTTCCATTAAAACACCAGGAAAGTTACTTAAAATAATAAATCGTGACAACTTTCAGTTTTATTGCTCTGCTAAGGACAAATTCAGAGCAATTGAACACTTCCTTATATTTTCCCTGTTAAAACAATATTTCAGCGAACTTTTAAAACGTTGACAAATCTTTTTCTCTCAGTCCCCCCTTTTTGCATCGTCGCAAAACCACGGCAAAAATTTACGATCCTCTCCCATTCTGGGAGATAGCTCGAAACGATGTCTATCACCAGAATCTATCACCAGAGGGTATACAGGAACGATAACTCTGGGTAGAGATTGGAGACGATGCACTTTTTGCAAAAAAGGAAATTCCTATCTTCTTACAATATGTTCGATCTGTTACTTGAAAACAACCATGCTAGTTTTAGAAAATCAATTGAAAACTATATAACAAAAACATGCCAACAGTACTTGTAGTGCTGCAAATGAAATGCCATCTCTTTCTTAGTTCCTACCGGTAACGACGTCGAGAGGAGAGAGAGGGGAGGGGGGTCTTCACTTATGACCGCCAGTATATGTCCACAGGCCAGTTGAAGCAGTTGGTAAAGGAGAGCGTTTGGGTCTGTCCCAATTTATCACAAGTTAATACTGAAACCAAACTATATAGGTACATAGGTGATAGTGCGTAGTGGTCCCCCTTCTAACAACCCTTATGATATGGGATAGCTAGCCGTAGAACCCCACGTATATGGTTTTATAATACTAGTATTTGTCATTTGACCATTATGGTCAAAGACAAAATTTATAATAAAAACCATAACGCTACAGTTCTGCAGCTAGATCTGGGAGTGGTCTTAAGTTAACAGGTGGTAAGTTAATTTTGAAACGTTTCACAAGATATTTCACCTGTTTGCAATTGCAGGAAATGCGAATAGATACATGTACCAGTATCTTAGATACGTCTTTAGACATTAGACCCCCTTGAACAAGATATAATGGGAACATCGACGATTTTTTTTCTTTTTCAGACTTTTAGAAAAACACCCCCAATACAAAGAAAAATACCCAATGATAGCAGGACTAAACACTGAAGAAGAAATGAGGGAGAGTTTAGAGTTCGAGACCTACGCTATGCAGATTTTTGGAATGTTTGATGAAGTCATACAAAATTTAGAAAACGTAGACGCAGCGCTTGATGAAATCGAACACACCGGAAAACAACTCACTCCACAGCTAGTAACGGTAAATAAGTCCATAATACAACGTCACACCCAATACTATTGTTTAATTATCTATAGCTGCAAAACTGTAGCTCTCCGGAAAAAAAAAATTACTGACAGACCGCAAAAATGTATCCCTCTCCATATTTTCTCCCCTGAAAGTATCATATTAAAATATTGGAGATGGCTACATTATTCACCTAGGAGAGACCCTGATATAAACTTATTTGTTAATTGATTAAATAATTCCCATCTCTCTGTCTGACCGAGATCCAACAGTTTTAGAATGTTTGCTTCCTTGTGAGCTTCCAGCACTTGCATGAATATTTCCATATTGGACTAAATATAAATTGGGAAATTCCAAATTGGTAAAAATACATGTATAGTTTTTGAAATTTATTTCGCTTACACCGGACTTCCATTCAGGTGGTCACATAGAACACAGGCACTTGTTTCGTATGTGGGGTACCCCGTACTTATATAAGTAGGGGTAACCTCGTATACGAAACATGTGTATGTGACATAGAATGTGGTACGAGAGGCGGGAGGAGGGTGCAGGGTGGATACTAGTAAATGTAGTATATAATGTTCATTAAATGTCTTGTCCCCACTTGTTGATAGACTTTATATCCTAACACTCCTCCCCCTAATACAATACTTTTCTCTTTTTTGGAGGGGGGGGGGGTAGTCAAGGATTTGTCTTAGGTATGTTGTCATTTTTAAAAGTATAATAACCCTGTCCAGTTTTTCAAAATCGATTTATATACGCGTCTTGATTTTGTTTTTCTACATTGAATCTAAAACAGATTTAAGAATTTTTAAATTAAAATGATGGCATAGCCTGCTGAATGAGTTTGCATCATTCATTTTCGGTGAATCATATATACAATATGTAATAAAAATAAGTATATACTGGGTCAACATTAAAGGAATATTTGGTTAGCTGGAATTGTTTAATAACAAATGTAACTTCTTTATAATTGACTGACACATTAATTACCTAAGTTAAAATCTGCAGGTAAAGCTATACAGTCATTTCAAGCCGTAAGTTCTTGTCAACACGATCGAAAGGTAACATGGGTATTTACGGGGAAGAAAAGGGCTGCGTTTGTTGAAAATACATGTATGTCACAAATGACCCAATGAATGTAAGATAAGGTAATGGCTACTCCATTTAAATACCGGTATTTTGTTACTCTTAAGAGATATGTTCGTTCTTAAAATTCAATGCATGTTCCAACAATAAATAAACATTTCCTTTACCTTAGTTCACGTATTTATATTTATACATGTCAATACACTATAATAATGCGTTTTTCAGTGGAGTTTAACGTGTCCTTTTTCAAAGTCATACATGTTCCATTGATATAAGATTTGCTTCCTAAATAGTTGATGGTGTGCTTGATTTCTAACTTTTTAATGGTGATTTCTCTGTTTGATGGTGAACTTGATTTGTTGATTCCTCTGTTTGATGGTGAACTTGATTCCTCTCTTTCAGGACCTGGAGGAATGTTTTATGAACTCCTTACATCTTGTTTTAGACGAACGATATACAGAGACATTGCAAGAGAATTACCGCCTACTGTACGAATTCATCAAGTCTAATATACCACAGGCAACCTAGATATTGTAATGCTGCCTTGATAGCTTATAGTGAAGCTGCATGTAAACCTGTACTTCTGTACATGTATTTGCAGTGCGCATTCTCATAGAAGGCGCATTTTCAGTTGTATATTTATTGTGAACTTTTCTTTTTTTACAAACATAATTCTCACTCAAGACTGAATGTAATCATAGATCGAAGTTTGTTTAATTATGTGAGTATTTTATACCATTAAGTTATAGCAATGAAGTCGTGTTTCTTCTCTCTCAATTTGACTATTTTTATATGTATTCGGACGTTTTCTGCAAAAAATTAGATATGGTTGCAGTTCATCAGAAATAAAGTAAAATAAAACAACAATATATTTCTAGGTTTTCAAAAAAAAGAAATGTTCTTCGAGTCATCTTCCTTTTTGGTCATATCAAAACCAAACATGTAAACTTGAGCTGAAAAAAATTACATCAGTGTTACAAAGTAGCCCGCCCGGAAAATGAATACAGTTGTTTTTCCTTCCGGGAGTGCTCATATATCAAAAGTTTTGACTTGATTGTAAAATTTTGATATGAGGTATTCAAATGAAAAGTTGTGAGTAAAAATGGGCAATTTAACTTTTTGAGCTATGGTATAACTTTCATGCAGAATTTTCGAACCGTAAGACGGTCTTTTCCCGCTTACATGGGAAGTAATTAAAAAGTTTTCATTAATTAACAGAATGTAAATTATAGTGTATTTTTGTCTTAATGTAACAACAGCATCAATTTATGATATGCAACTATATAACTTCTTGTAAACATCTAGTAATCGTACCGTTCTCCCCTTAAGAATAACTTCATCCAAAAATACAGTACAGAGCAAATCTTTACCAAGTAGAAATGTGGCTGTTTTAAAAATCGGCAAGTCTGACGACGAGACCAGAATTTTATTGCAAAAAAGGCGCGGATCCAAAGGGGCGGTATTAAGCAGTCCGCACCTCGAGTTATCAGTATATTTATGTAAATACAAAATAGAATTTGGAAACCAGTAAACTTTGAAGTCTTACAATGACCCACCTATCCATCCCACCTTCTGTTTACTTTTTATCAAAATATTATATATTTCACTGTAAAAGCAATACCCCAAAAATAAAAGATCGCTTTTGCACAAACATGGTGACAAAGCTTTGCGTAGAAGAAAAAAAATAAACAGCAGAGCGAATTCTAGTAGTTACTATTATATAGAATATCTGACTGCATTAAAATTCATACTTATATATATTACAAAGAAATGAAAACTGGAGAACATAATCTATACACCTTAAGAAATCTAAATATAAGAAAAATAAGACATGAATATGACAAAGCAATGTGGATTTCTTAATGCAGTTAGTTTTAAGGATGTGATATGTTCTTGAGGCCGGGTGGTTTTCTCTAAAACTGAATCTATGGATAAATCCACAGTTATCTGTTATCATTTAATATAACTCTTTAAATATTTTCTTTTTTAATTTCTTGAGGACTGGCTGCTGAGAATTATCCTCCGAATTCAGTGACAGCGAGAATATCGACCGAACACGGACAAACAAGAATTCTAGAAAACAGTCTACTGCAAAAGAAACTTCGATATGTTATGAGATTGCACATGGTTGATTCTGTTTGTCTTTATTTTTGTCTTTTAATTTGATAGGTTGTCTATTGGTGGCCGCCATTACACATTGTTCGAAAACGTTTTCCAGTCCAGCTTTATTCATTGCCGAACATTCTACGTAGGTTTTTGCGCCATTAGCATTGGCGAATTTGATGCCATCCTGTAATGAAATTGGTCGTTTATTTTTCTCCTTCAGCTGATTTATAACGTCTGAATTGTTTCTCATGTCTGTTTTTGTTCCTACTAAAATATAAGAAGCCTTGGGAGACAATATCCGTATTTCTGTAAGCCAGTTCCGTTTGACATTTTCCAGTGTTTCCGGTTCTATTACACTGAAACACACGAGAAACACATCTGTTCCACTAGTGAATAACTCTCTCAATTTCCGGTACTCATCCTGTGAAAAACAACAATGCGTATCAAAGTTTGTAAACTCCTTTCTAAGAACAATTAAATAAAAAAAGATTTGTTAAATACACAAAATATACATAAAAGTAAAACAATAATAATAATTAAAAAAAAAACACAGTGTATACACACATATATGTAAGTTTGTGTTGGTAGGGGTTTTTTTTGGGGGGGGGGGCTGCGTCAAAATATTCGAGACCGTGACCTTTATCTTCTTCACACAATTTAACTACAATTAAAAGTACTTTTTGTTCTCTCTAAAAGTATTCACTGAAGTGTTAATGTACATAATAGATAAAACTTCAACTTTCTTCTTTCTGCTCCAAGCTTCCTTATCATTTTACATGGCCACGGGACTGTGCTTTCTGGACGGGGTCAAAGAAAATTTCTTTTAATTTATATGAAAATTTTATAACTGAAAATCCTGTGAGGGTTCCGAACCCCACTTCCCTCTAGATCCGCACACAATTGTAACGTAACCCTTCATAGATTTTTTTATTGTAAGATTCATGTAATGCTTTGTGGACATACCGGTACCTCCCCAGGGCCCTCCTCGAAACCATGATTTAACAGAAGTTTCGTGTAAAATTTTCTTTGCTGGATCAGTGATTTTTTTTTTCAAGATTATTCCCTACATAAGTATATGCTTGTTTCTGGGTAAAACTGTGAACTGCTTTCATGATTGGTACACCCATATATTTAGCTCTGTGAATTTTAGTCGATGAATAATCATTGAGAAAAAAAAAACTTATTTGAGCTTTCAGATCAGGTGAGCTACCGGTATAAAGGCGCTTTTTAAAATCAACTTTCCAATGTACCCGGTATGATTCTTAAAACAGCAAATTAGCTATCTTAATTAACATCAGTTGACGATGGAGGAATTACATATCACGCGTCAATGCTGATGTAATGCGGAAGGTTTCACGCCACTTAGTTTTTCTCCTGTGTAGAGCATTTCTTACCTCGCCTATAGTGTCGGTCAATCCTAGAGTATAAGTGCTATCACAGACCTCAATGGTCACCGGAACTTCGTAGGCGTCACTCCTACCAGCTGAAACAGAAGAGTGTCAAGTCGGTAGTGATAAAAATAAGCCATTAGAGCTGCCCTTTACAAATAAAATATATAGGTCATGCAAAAAACAAAAAAAAAATTGCAAATTTTGCATGAGAAATTTTTATGACCCCATTATCGGAATTCGGCTGTATATAGATTTTTTGTCCTGGTCGCCCGTCTGTTTGTCTGCAAAAACGTTAACCTTGCATATATAACTTTTGACTGGTTAGAGCTAGGGCTTATATGATATCACATATGTATTTCTTTGTCGCAAGACCAACATATTTGATACTTTGACCTTGACCTTGGTGTTTGACCCACTTTTGCGAAAGTTTATCAAATTTCAACCTAGCTTGGTCTTGGTTTTTGACTCTTTCATGCTTTACATTTGTATTAACTGTGACAAGACCTTTCCTTGAGAATATATATTTTAAAACACTGACACCGAATTTCGGGGCTTTGACCCCCTTAACCCCACCAGAGCTTTGCTCTGGATCGGCCTACTGGAGTCCTCAAAGCCCCTTTCCGTTTTAATTTTTGTTTCTACATCAAGCTCTTCCTGGATAAACTTGCAGGTCTTGTATTAATAAGTACATGTGTATTCACAAATGAGAAGTCCCAAAGCGGTTATACATGTCGAGACTAGATTGGCTTTGAGTGGTGATAAAATGATCATCAAACGATGTTTAAAACTCCCTCTATATCTTGTAAGTTTCCTACTTCTTTCTCTCTATTTTGAATAGATAACTTCTATTTTCATTAAGGTTAGAGTATAGGAAGCCTGTATTGAGGATAGGGGAAAATCGTACAGAAACATAACGTCTCTGAAGCTGAAAAGGTTGGAATCCACTGTTACTTGTATGCTTAAATTGCACAAACAGCTGAATACGAGTATGTCGAAAATATTCAAGCATATGAAATTCTAGTTTTTGCTCAATGAACACCTTTAATGATCATTTCAACAATTTGTGAGGTAAACTTGCACCATTTTGAACTCACATTTTTAATCCATCACTATCTATAAATCAACCCCTAAAGAATGAACACATTTAGGTGTACTTTTTAACCTGTAGACTAAGCTGGCTCGAGGGCAGCGTGACATACGGTAAAACGTGACACTTCCTCCATGATGTGTCATTTCTTGTTGATCATTATCTTGCGCTTTTCTTTTGTACTACATGAACACTGATATTTTAAACTTAGCTCTTTACCTTTTATAGTACCACTTTCGTAAAGAGATGGTATCCTCCCGTCGGACGGAAATTCTTTGTTGGCAAACGTCATCAACATACAGGTTTTGCCGACGCCACTGTCGCCCACGGCGGTAACTTTGATCTTTTGGGGGGCCCTGCTAGCCTCTGTGGCTGAGGGATCTTCAGCCATGTTGTGATGTGAGCGGATTATCACTTCCTTCTACTTATCCATGTATACCTTCCTTTCACTCCGTACAATTATCATCCATCAACAAATATTTCCTTTTAAAAATGTGTATGTATCAATCACAAACTTGTTCCAGAAAAAATTCCCAGAGAACTTTGGTTTATTTCCAGTTTATTTCCAGACAATTGTTAAGATTTAAAATAAGGAGGACGTGCGATACGGTCACTAAAATGACTGCTGCGTCTTTAATACAGCGCTCAACTAAGGACTGAACACTTGAACATGACCCGAGTTTTCCATCAAATAACCCCCGCGTCTCATCCTTATCAACTTCCGGAAAAAATCACGTGACTTGTACAACTTATTTCCTTTAACAGCAAATTTACTTACTTGTCAATATCATGTTTATAAATATACAGCTATTCTATTGTTGTTTATTGCCAGAATACGCTTTTTATATACATGTAAATCATAATACATGGATATAAACTGATCACCGTTAATAATGGCTCTACGCTCCTCAATGGTTGCAACATTTAATTTGGATAAAAAAAAAATAAACGCATAGTTATAACTAGTAATGACACCAAATGTTTGTAATTTTCTGTATAGTACATTCTAAAACATGATACTGTAAACAAATACAAATACTTGCGTAATTTGAAATTTAATAAAAAGTAAACGGATATAACAGCGTCATTAAGGAAATGTAATTGACATGACTGCATAATGATGAACTCAGATGTAAGTAGTTAAGTGGTGAATATCAAGTACTTTAGAATTAAATGAGCCTGGTTTCAAATGAATTAAATTTTTTTAGTGTATCCAATAACATTTAATGAAAAGAAGGAACAAAAATTAGGTTGACCAAGATCATGATGGAAGGACTGAAAAACTGATTGCAGTGTAATTAATTAATCCTTCAAATAAACACAAATGAAAGTGTAACAGTATCTTTAATCAAATTATGTCATTTAAACACCTGACACTCAATATTTTACTGCCCAGTCATATAAGTTAACTTTTTCAGTGCATGTTTCTAATATCACAGAAAACCTCCATTTCTGGAAGCTATGAAGGAAGGATTTTCCATCATCAGATGGCAGCACTGTGCATTCAGCCCTGGGTGGCAGCACTGTCTGGTCTGTCGTCTGCCAGGCTCTTGTACAGAACAGTTTTCATTGCAGCCATTACAGTGATGGTGGACAAAACGGTGGTGGCAGTTTCTTCATAACCCTGGTCCTGTAAAATCTTCACCAAACTGTCCCACTCATCTGCACTGGTCTCAAGGTCATCTAGTACTGCTGCATGAAACAGACTGGTGTTTGGATCATCTACAAAAAATATATTGAAAATTGTTATCTAAAGTTTTAATGGTATCCTTATAGTGAACAAATGCAAACAAAGTAAAATATGATTCTTTCAATTCTTACCAACTGTATTTGTGTTTTGTAATTCTTGAATAAATGGTAAAACCAGATCAAAGCTATTATTTTCCAGCACGGTTAAAATGACCACCCCGATAGGTAAAGGTCTTGATCCTTGGTCATCCTCCGCTACAAGGGCTTGCATAAGTTGTAAAGATGGACACATCCTTAACACCTCAACATACATTTCCTTTGTAAAAGGAGACCTGCAACAAAAAGTCAAATTTTACTTTACATGATTAGCAAAAAAAAAAAATCACTTCAAACTTACTGTTATCGCAATAACATAAGATTTTGGATATGTAAACTGTTGAAAATTCATTTTTAATGTTTCACTCTAAGAGATTTACATGTTATAAGCCTGGAAGACTTAGTAGATTGCTTACTTGTGTTTGGCATACTCAATTCCTGCATGGACCCTGCCCTGCTTAAGGAGACAGATAATGGCCTGGTGATGAAGATGGAGTTTGGAGTAGACGTTCTGAGCTAGGGCCTGGCAGCCACATTTACAAGGTACCTTACAGCTACAGTGTTTACTAATCAAGTCTCCAATCTGATGACTCAACATCAGTCTAGGCACAAAAGAAAGAACTAGCTAGACTAAGATTTAGAAGTAATCTAAAATAGCTAAGTATCATGAACTACATGTATGAAGCTAGCATAAAGACATTTATGTTTTCTATATACCAGTTTTATACTAAACAGCAGACAGCAATATTTTTAAAATGGTGTACTGAAAATGTGCTTTTATCCATAGGGCCAGATTTCCATGCAATCACAATTTCACTCCAATTCCACAGAAAGAAAATTGCATGGATAATTCAGAATTTTTTCAACGCACTTTAAATTTGCTCTGACAATTTTTTGCAGATAGTTTGTGACCATGCACATAGCTAATAAATTGGACAGGGAAAAGTCTATCTTTACTTTATTTTCAAATTATTCCTTAAAAGGTAACAAGTTTTCCTTCTTGTCATTACTTTAGAATTATACATGCATGTATATAACATGTATAAAGTAAGCTTTGTATTTTAGTGGTATTGGAGCAAACAAAATCGCTTTAATTCAAAAATATCATTAATAAATCATTCCTAAATACAATACATGGCACAGTCAAGTGTATGGCTAAATCTTGACTGTGCTAACCTCTTTATTGCATTAAAAATTTGAATGTATCAATATATGTTCAAAAACTTTTTTTAAAAATTCCACATACCTATCCTGTGATATCCAATGAGACAAGAGATCTAGTCGGTTTTCATTTAAGGCACACTCCACACATTCTGTAGAGAGTCCACTTGCTGGCTTGGTCCCCACAGCTGCTACAGAGGCCATGATAGCATCACAGAAGGCCAGGAGAGGAGAGCGGTGGGTCAGTCTAACCTTCACATCTACAAACAGTTTACAGCAGTCTACAGGCCGGTGTATTCCTAATCCATTACAAGTTATATTCTGCATTGTATTTATAATCTAGCAATCATGACAAATATTTATTAAATTATAGCATTCATTTAATTTTGGGCTTTCAAACATATACAGTTGCCTGCTTTTTTTTGTAAGTTCTATAATTTTTATTTCTCAGCTCATGCAAAACATTGGAGATAAAATATAACTGTAAGCTACCTGTCACAGAGACATTAACTTCAGTATCTTGAACTTGGTGGGATTGACAGAATTGATGAGATATTTGAGTTTAAGTTATTAAAGTTTGATTTCTAACTGTGTCAAGACAAGAAACTCAGCATATCTAGACAACACTGTTATTTTCCACACATCAGTTTTCAAGATACCCAAATTGAATTGTACAGTCATGTACATTTAAACAACAAGTACTGCATTTAAAAGCATTAACTGTGAAATAAAAAAATCTGGAGGAAAGTGACAGATTAATTTTGATAATCACACATTTGAGGTTTTTTTCTCCTTTTAGGTCAAGCCATATAAATTAAAAGTGTTCATTTCACAGTTCTTGATACTGTGCAATGTGCATTACACTAAACATATCTTTAAATATCCAGAAGTTAGCCCTCATCTAAGTTTTAAAAGGTGTTCTTGGTTTTACACCTATATTTAAACAAAATTTCTAGCTCATTACAAGAAATGTCAGGCTTTTGAAAGATTCTTTTTTGTAAAAACCATACCTTAGTTGTTTCAAACAATCCTTGATAGGAAATTTAATGTGACTACTAAGTTAGCTTGTGCATTTAAAACTGGTTGACGTAAAACAAAGTTGAGAGGATTAAATAGCATGAACAAATACCCACCGTCTTTCTCATCTGAAAACAATAAAATAGGAGAAATATTGAAGCAACTCTTACTCTATTAATCCATACAGGCCTGCACCCAGAAATCAATACTGCAAGGTGCATTTTCCAATCAACTAAACTGGTCTATCTCACAGTTACTTTACACATACAGCAGTAATTCAGATCAATGTGATTTGCGATAGCTGCATGCATATGGCATTTTACTTATAACTATTGTTCTTTAAAATTTAAAAGGCTAGCTGTTATAAATCTACATGCAGATAACAATCGGGTGGATTTAAATATCATTAAGTAAAACATTTGTACCCAACCAAGCTCAAAACTAAAAGAAATTCTCACTGCACTGTTGCATTCTGGGATGGCCGATTGACTTACTGACATTCTGATTTCATAATTAAATGCCCTGTGTTATACTGAGTATCTGATTAGTTTGTTGCATTTATTGCAGCACAGCAATAGTCAACCTTTAGAAACCCCAAAAGTTTGCATGAGTATAATCTTTATAAAGAATTGTCTGTTTGCACTCTGATCCTGACTAAAATTTTTGACTCCACAAAATATTGCTGCAGCAAACTGCAATATATAAACATCTTGTAGATCATGGATTCAGAGCTGCCAACATTCTGAAATGACAAATAGTAAGGCGGGGTCTAGGGACCACCTAGGCCCCCTGCTGCTGAAGATTTTTTTGTAAATGGACATGCAATCTGAGGCATGTTTTCATCTTCTTTACTCTAAAACATTGACATGAATGTGATCGGCCTTCTAAAACCGAAACGATGATACAAGAAAGCATTGTAAGAATTATGAATGTATTATAATAGTAGAAACTATAGACTGCCAGCTATGAAAATACCGGTATTATAAACTTTGAACGAGAAAAACCGGAAATCGGAAGAATATAAAGAGAAATCGTAAGGCGTATTTAAGATGCTGATTTCGTACGCCTTACACCAAAATCGTAAGGGTTGGCAGCTCTGTGGATTGAGCATAAAATGCAATAATGCATGCTTTTAGAATTATGCAGTTTTAACTATTTTTGTTACTATTAATAAATGAAAGGCGAAGATTGATTGCTAAATTAATACAAAAGTAAATTGTTTGCAATGTATTATCTAATAGTGTTTTGGCTAAAGCCTTTAAAAAGGCTGCTTAAAGATAGTAAAATATATTCCCAGTTGTACTGTACCATACAAGGTCAATTAAATGGAAATAATTATTAAAATCTTAAGAAGATGGGTGAACAAGGTGTGTAGTCTCAGCTTCAGATATATTAAAATCATATTGACATTGTGAATTAATTAGTACCATATAAGCAGAATTTTTAGTGAGGATGCTCAGAGATTGCTAAAAACTGAATATCACTAAAAATTTATAGTGTCAAAACTTTTTTGAGTTAAAATTTCTGAGAAAAATTATTCCTTTATTAAAGAAATAATGTGATTTTTTTTTTTTTGGATTCAAACCCTAGCAATAAAAATCCTGAGTATCATATTGCTTTGAGATTATCACACTTACCACAAAGCTACATGGTGGCATTTTAATCTTGGTTGTGAAATAACAAACACTTGACTTTATGGACTTCAAGTATTTCTCAGAAAGATATTTTATCATAAAATAAAATATTAAAGGTAGAGTGGATCTTTGTTCCTTGATTTTGTTAACCAGAAAATGTATATTTTTATGCAAAAGGATTAAATTTCAAAATTTGGAGAGAAGACCCATTCATTTCGAAAATAGTGTAAAATGATCCTTTTCACCCTCTTTAGTGTATAAATGGTAGTTCATAAGCAAATAATTTCAATCTTTGTGAGAATTTTACTAACTGTAGAAATTTTCCATAAAGTTTGAATAGGAAATATAAGAGAAAATTTTGATATACTTTCCACCTTTATGTTTGTTGCTCTATAGGCATTTCACTCCCCTTTTTCATCAATCGTCTTTATACTACTATAGCAAGTGAACATTCAAAATGTTTTTATATGCAGAAGAGGTAATGTTATGAGTTATGACTCAGAATTTTTTCATGTACCAAAGATAAAAATTACAAAGGTTTGGAGCTCTAAATCTGTCTTAAATCTCGACAACTGAGATTCAAATTTTCTTGTCGAGATTCAAATTTTCGATGAACATAGGACAAAACTTAATTAAATATTTGTAAAAATGGATGAATAAAGAACTATATGCGGTATATTGCATATGTTTGCCCCCACAAAAGTCAAATTTTGAAAACTTCCTGAAATGTGCTGAATTCAATAAATTGTACGAGAAATATAAGTTAACAGAAAATATTATAGTTCCAGAGCAGTGTATTCACAATTTCTGTTTTTATGACGTCACAAACTAATCCGATTTTATATCCTTTTCCAGAAAGAGGACAAAATGGACAAAATTTCAACAATTTAAGCTTTAAAATTTATAGAGCGCATGTGTGTTCAGGAACAATATTGACATATTTCATTGATATTATCATTCTACACATTATATCAAAATATTTATCCTGAACACACATGCGCTCGGTGACTTTTATTTAAAATATCGACGAAATATGTACATTTTTCTGCAAAATTCATAAAAAACTGAAATTACGTCATATTTGTGACGTCATTACGTACATATGACGTCATTACTTATGAAATTATTCTGTGCTTTGAAGTCAGCATATACTCCCCTGTTTAAGGACTTAATTAAATATTACTCCATCAAAGTTTGATTTTGGGGGGCAAATGTTGGTTAATACCGCATATAGTTCTTTGAAAATTTTAGCTGATACTGTGTCCATGTCCCTATTGGATATACATTGCTCTTATCCATTCAAACTGACATTCTTATTAGGTTTGTAGAATTCCCTTACCTCTGAACTTGGCTAGGGTGGCGGAAGTCCTGAGGATTCCTTTCGGACTGTTAGCAGCGTGAATGGCTGCCTCCTCATACTTCCCATCCTCAAACAGTTCATTGAACTTCTCGATGTATTCCAGCATCATTTCTGCCTCCTTCTCCTTGTTGGGGTCATCATCTTCGAATGTGGTGGTAGTGGTGGCGCTCGGGGAACCGTCTCTTTTCTCTCCCTCCCCCTGATTCTGTTCCTGCCCTGCTTCTGTGTAAATTAACATTAAAAAAAATACAGGTGTGACTTTGTCTAAAAATAGTTCTGAGTTCTGATACATGTAATAATTGTAATACATGTATTAAAATATGATTATCTTAGAAAAATACTTAAGGAAAACAACCTCATCATGTTATACAGAAGGAAATAACCCATCATTTTAGGTATATGCAATGGAATGTGGAAATTGCTCAATTATGATTTTTTTTAAAAATGTGTTCATATAAATATAATTATGAGATTCTCATAACCCAAAATGTACAAATAACATAAAACAGCAGCTTTAAAATAAACTCTACCTTTCTCTTGAACTTGGAGTCCAGTAGCCTGTGCAATAGCAAATGTTACAGCATCCCCGACAGTTTGATGTGGCGGTTTGAAGCGGTTGTAAGCCTGAGCAGCCTCAAGTGCTATTTTAAGTCTGTATCTCTTGGCTCTGTAGATCAGACCCTGACGTAACAATTGATCTCTGGTATTCACTTTGGTATCTAGCTTGTTTTTAAAGTCTACTTTCTGAGATTTAGGCACATATCTAGTCCTAAAACTTATGTTTAAATCCTTCAGCTGTCGATCCAATATATCCAAATTCTTATAAAGCAGATTTAAATCAGTAGCCTCCTCCAATGATAATCCTACAATAAAGAGTGAAAATTAGTCAGTATTATAAATGCTTTTCTGGTGAGAAAAATTTAATTGTTTCCATAAATTTTGATCATTTCCAATCATTTTATTTTATTTAGCAAACAGCCTGACCTGGTATAAGTCTTCTGTCTTTTTTCAGTTCTCTCTTAGGAGGTTCTGCAACTTCCCTTTCCAATTCCTCTCTCTTTTGTCTCTTAGATTTCAGTTCCTGTAATTGTTGTTCGAGTTTCTCATTGTCCTTTTCAATTATAGCAATCCTTAAAAAAATCCATTGAAATTAGTTGATATGAATAAAAATAGGGGATTTTAATTTAAAAAGTAATACACATGTACCTTGCACATATATATGCTAATGTTAAACTCATATTTCAATCAAAAAGCTGCCTATGCTACATGTACAACTTTAGTATGACCATGCCAAGAAATCTCGTCCAGGTTTCTACAGCGATGGAGTCAGTAAAAGTGTAATTGATGCAAATCACCCATATTCCCAAAACACTGGCAAGACAATTTACGGCAGCAGACTTCTGGGGGTGGATAATAAGTTTTTACCTTTCTTAGTTAAAGAAAAAATAAACTTCTACCCCAGGAAGTAGTCCCCTATGCCCTAAAAAGTTTCTGTCAAAATATTTATTTTTTACAAAATACGTAAAATGCCAGAGGCACTGGTACCAGAATTTATATAAAAAAAAAGTTGGACTGAAGAAAATAAGAAAAAAAATCAAAAGAAAATATTCACTTTAAAATGAAAATGTTTACATAGCCAATCGGGTAACCTCTACCCATTCAGTACTCATCTCCATCTTGTTCAACCAGGAAATGATGTAACCTTCCGGAAATTTGGTACCCTTTTATCTATATTTCGACGCGGTACTTCCACAACTACCCAAGGTCAATTTGTACTAAGAAAAAATACTTTGAAATTGAATTACGTAAAAAATTGAAAGGCAGCTCATTCTATTGAAGAATTACTTTACTATAATTAATTTCCTTTTCTTTTCTTTTTTTTGGACCCCCCCCCCAAAAAAAAGGGGGGAGGGGGGCAAAGGCTTCTAAATAATTAGTATTCTACCTATAATTTAAACCCAGTAAATTTTAAGATCCTTCCCTCAAAACTGCGGACATTAATTGCCTCCAGCACATCTCCCTGGGGAAGAATCACAGATTAACGTTATTTCGGCTTTTATTGAGTTCGCTATACAGAGAGAATGCTAAGGTCTTTCTACATTTTGATAACCAATTAAGCTCATGGTCAAAGTTCAACAGATACCTCTCTTCTAGTTCATCAGCTCTCTTTTTGTAATTTCTGATGGTAGATGGTTCAGAGGCCATTGCTTTCAATTTGCCATTTAGATATTCAGTCTCTCGTTGTCCCTTTCTGATTGAATCAATAGTGTACTCATATTCCTTCTTGATGGAAGTTAGTAATGGCTTATATGCTGTTACATACTCAATGATCTGAAAGCAATTTAAAAATCAGTTCTGAAGTTCTTAACTTTAACTTGTTGTTAACCTCAAAATACAGATCTCTCTCACTTAAATCAATTAAACTATGTAAAAAAAATATAAAAGTAACATCAAAATAAGATTTCATACACACACACACACACACCAAATTATCTAATTTATGCTTATTTTTTCTAACCTTGTTGAATGCATTCCTGTATATTATGTATCTCTGCTCGGCCTCCTCACTGCTCACTTTCTTTATTTCATCTTCAATGTATTCATTTAAGTCAGACAGGAAAACACGATCACATTCATTGGTGATGATAGGAGGAACTTTAGGATAACCCCCAGGTGTTGATGCACGACTAGATACCTGACTCTGCAAACGAAACAAACAAGTGTAACCTATGCAATTCAAAATATTTGAATCAGAAATTTTTTTTATATCCAAATAAAATGAAAGCCAAAGGTATTCTACAAATGAAATCCTTCATTTTTTCTTTAACAGCATTCATTACATCATTCTTTCTGTTGCTCTTAAGAAAAAAAAATATTGTATATAAAAAAATCAAATGCTAATTAAGTCACAAAAAATAAAATAATGAAATATAAGACGCACCATTTTGGTTTTCACTATCCACTGTCCACCATATTTAAACAAGTGGTAGGCAGGATGTGACGTAATTTTTCTATCTTTAAGGACAAACTGCTTTCGGATAAAATTGATTTATAAGGAGGAAGAATCAACTTAATCGAAAAATTCTGTCAAAACAATTTATTTACAAAATTGTGATTGTTTGAATTTATTTTACAGTTATAGAAAATAACTTTGAAGGGCTCGAATAATCGCATAATTATTTTTTCTTTTTTTCCGGTTAATAATTTTAGATTTTCTCTATTTGATTCCATTACAAGAAAAGATGGAGGAGATCGGCTTGCAACCACAAGACAAGGTACCGGTTTTGCTTCTTTTTAGCGTATTCCAAGTTAGATATTGCATATTGTTTTCTTTTATGTATTATTCAGTGTCTATGAGTCCTTCAGTGTAATGTTATTTTACTTTACATGACAATTAAAACTCCTCTAACCCTTTGTAAAACACTGCACATGGTGAAAAAAGCTTTGTCATTCTGTCAAATAAATGAAATTATTTGGATTTTTGCAATATACTGAGATAAGATATTATCATTCCATAAAAGACATAGGCTTACTAATTAATATGACCATTTTCAGCACTATTGACAGGTCCAGCACTATCTCTTGATTAACCTATATAGCTTGAAAAAGCTATATAGCTTCATTAAGTTATTCAGAATAGCTTAATTAAGCTACTTTATCACATTTTTTTTCTCAAATGTTTTATTTTTTCAGCATGTGCAAAATGTCGCACCTTGGTGCACTGGAAATGTTAAACTTTGAACTCTATGCATGTAAAATCACTCATCAAATTGCGTCTCTTTGAGAGACTTTGTACTCAAAGTTTTAAAAGTTATGGGGCTATTAATTGACTTTTTAAACAAGTTTAATCAAGAGATTGTTCTGGACCTGTTGGTACCATTGGACCCATTTGACAGCTAGGGTTCTCCATGTGTCTTTCACATTTTTGGAGACCCTACACAGTTAATTTCCATAACACCCCTGTTTTAAAAAAAATCAGCAACAAAGTTATTCATAGTAAATTTCTAGTGCCACAGTAAGATTTAGGGAATAAATTTATATTCCTTTGGTTTTTGTGACTGGTAATGTTGAAATATTGGCCGCAAGTTGAGTTGCAGATTGAGCAAAGCCTACCTAACTGACATTTACCTTCCAATTAGTGATCAATCTCCCATATTATCCGGGACATATTTTACTGACGTAATGATGATCTTTTTTAATTTTATTTCAATTTTTATTTAAAAAAAAAAAAAAAAGAAGAAACCACCATTTAAAAAATCTGGCCATAACGCGTAACGACATTCACGACATATTTACCATGATGAAATTTTATACAATATACATATATACACAGATACAAAGTATTTGTGTATTGAGAATTCTTTTATTGAAAAAGGATTTAATTTAATTACTATGACAAAAAACTTTAAACATAATTTGCTTTAATTTACATGTTAAAAATGAAAATTGAAGGTTTCATATTTCAGTATTGACCTGTAGTAAATGTGCATTATATGTTCTGCTTTTAGTTTTGAAAAAAAAAAAAAAAAAAAAAAAAAGCCTTTTCACATTTTTTCTGCTATATATTTGAGAGAGCATAGGTTCAATTTTGAAGTTATTTTTCCTCTCTCTGCCTAATAAATTAACTACTGCAACATCTTTTTATTAAATTTGAATATAGGCCTACACTGTCTTTGATCACTTTATTTTATCATATATATATATATATAGTTTTTTATCCCAAGATTCCTTGATATGTTCATAAATATCGTTTCTCTTTTTCTTGGTTCAATCAGAGACATGTGTTTGGTTCCATTCGATTCAGTTCGCCATTTTCGCAGTTAATACCGCCATGATTTCCCAAGAACGTTTTTCCTGCTATATAAAATTCTCTTTATAACGTTAAAAATTCGCATACCGCCATCCGCCACCCTGTTTTCAAAACAAACGTCCATTTTTAAATGTCAATTATCTCGGGTTAATACCGCCAAGGTGTATGTGGTCATGAAGCACGGTTAATTGGTTGACGCTATCCCTGTTGTAAAGCATGCAAAGCCAGTCAAGGTACATGCAATTAAGTAAAAAATAATTTTAACATGAACTGTTAGAATAATTTTGTTTTTCTGTTTAATAAAATCATATAATTAAGGCTTAGCCACGAAAGCGGTCGTTGTTAATTTCGCCGATAACGAATTATTTTCATGATCTCTGCTTTTAAAAACAATTCAAAATTTGCTTTAAAAATAAGTATAAGTCAGAAATTGTGAACGTTTCATTAACAATGCTTTTATAAACAATGAATTTATTTAAGAACTTATTTTACATACTAATTTAGGCAATATATCACAACGATCACCCCGCATTTTTTTTTCAATATTACGTGCAGATTTACATGCATACGCATGTACTTGTCTTAATTTCATAACTGAATATTTTTTTTAGCGAAATTGTACATAAAAAAATTACTTAAAGTATTTTCAAATTTAAAAATATGTTTTTAAATACATGTACATGTGATAATAAGAATAGAAACGCTAAATGGTATTTTTAAGAACGATAACCCTACGTCTTATTTCCTAAAAGATGGAAAATTCAATTCATCGCCAAATTCGTTATACCGCCATGATTTCTAAATCACAAAAGGTGGCGGTTTATCGAGAATTAACTGTAGTTTGATTGATTTTAAATTCTTAAAAACGATACCAATAGTTGTCCATAAGGCCATAATAAAAATATTCCTAGATTCTCATCCCCGCCCGCCCCGAATTTATACCCCCGCCTCGATTTTTTTTATTTCTGTTTTTCTTCATCTTAATTCTGATCAGGATCGGTATTCATCTACCATTCTACTTTTGTTTTAAATCCCGCGAAAGTCGACATGATTTTGACAGCTGAAAAAATGGTAATTGCTGTAATACATGCGTATATATTTTAAACAATTTAAGGGTCATTGGTTGAAAGATATTGGTGATGATGTGAAGTGAGAGATAATTGAACCTTTACTTTTATTCGGATATTGTAGATAGAATTACACCGATTGACCAGGTCAATAAAAAATCTGCAAAATTGAAAAAATAAAAAATGTAAAATAAAAGCCGCCCGCCCGCCTCGATTTTTAAAAAAAATTCGGATGAGAATCTAGCAATTTATTTATTATGGCCTAATGACCGAACTTCTTGCTCAATCAACATGATCAATCCAATAAAATTTTGTTGTGTTGAGTAGGATAAAATTTCTATTTTTCTCCAGTGGTTAACTCTTGATAAATTACCTTTTAATCGCTATTTGGATCTTCATCAATATTTATCTCCAAAAAATCTTGTTAAACATGAGCTCCTCATTCTTTTCAGGTATTGTGGGCACCTATTGCTATAAATTTCAACTAAATTTGATCGTTAGAATTTATTTACCTTTTGTCATCATGGTCTTTGCTTATTTTAATGGTTATTGAAATATTTGTGCCAAATTTTATTAAGGAGGATTCAATATTGGTGGAGTCCCGTCCAGGGACATCTCAAACTGCAAGTCATCTAGATCCTTTTGCCTCAGATGTTGAAGATCTGTATGTCAAATACAAAGTAAGTATAGGAAATATGGTCAAATACCATCTAGTATATTTGTCAGATGTTTTACAAAATTTAATTGGATAAAAATGGACACAACTAAAATCTCAGCTGTAAAAAGATTTTAAACAGTTAAACATTTTGTTTAACTCCACATCTGTTTTTATCATAAGCACTTGACGTTTTTAACCTTTCTCTTCATAAATAAAAAAAATCATCTATACTTATTTTAGTATAGGGGATTTTTTAATTTAAGAGAAAGGTAAATAATGTCAGGGTGGTTTTTATCGTGTTTGTGTAACGACTAAAGTCGTTCTTTTTATGGTTCTTTATTTTAAATCAAATTATCAAATTGGCAATGAGCTACAAACAAACAAATATATATACACACATTACCAATAGAACACACAAACAAAAATGAAAGAATTAATCAGTGTATGAATTTAAATTCAACTAACCACATACCACCAAAATATGGCGATGCCACACCCATGCAGTCACTCTTACTTTTACTGCACGTGTGGTATCTACATTTAAATAAACAGAATACCGGTATTTATTAAATTAACAATAAAAGGATATAAAATTTAGTATAATTCAAGTTTAATAAAACACAAGATTAACAAACATTCTTACCGTAACACGCATCACTCTCAAACTCAATCGAACACGTTCAGTCCTAAAGGGCATCAGCACAGTGAGTATTAATAGATAACTTGACAAATCAGTTTAAATCTTAGAGATTTACTCAACAAAATAATAATTTTATAAATTCAGTTCACTGCACGAAAATTAATTAAAGATAGATAACAACTAGATTGATATTCAAATACTTGAATTTTTATAAAGTTTTTAAAAATATAATCTCTAAATAAAATTAAATATTTTTTACAATTATTAAATTATAAATAGACTAAAAATAAAGTATGGTGCACATTTTTTTTTCATTATGTTGCACAAAATCAACCGTTATATTCGTACAAAGTTAATACAAACATTTACAATTTTTAAAGAAAATTGCATTGCTTTAAAAATTAAATATTTATTTTATTAACAAATTGTCAAAGACAATAGAATTCCTTGCACACCAGGAAGAAACAAAAGAGGTGGGGAACAATAAATTGTGTGTGCGTGACTTCTTATTTTGCAAAATCTATATAAATGTTCTAATAATTATTCTACTGAAAAATCTAGGCCTTCTCTAAAGTCTGTTTAGGAAATTTTTGTTTTTTTTTTTTTCAAAGCAAAATCACACACATATGTAAAGTTTGACACTTATATATAACAATATGTAAGGTGACAATTTTCATTAGGCCAGCATTTTTTTATTTTTAGTTACAATCTCTCTAAGTTTTTGAATTTTCAGAAAAAAAATAAAATGTGAAAAACAGAATTTTTTCTTTCCGATGTCAAATTTCTATACTGACAAATTATCTTTTCCTTACATATTTAAACTCCGGTTTTAAATTTGTGTCAAGTCCATAGCAGCACCTTGGTTTAATGTAAATATTTATCGATAGGAGTGCCATTCAAAACGTTTCACCCGTTCAGAGAACAATAAAATGCTGACGACTTTGTTGCAAAGTGACATGTTGGTGAGAAATAATGTATCCGTATTCAAAAAATCAAAATAAAAATTTTCCTCGGGACAGGTTTGAGAACTGCCCATGGTAGCTATTGTCAGAGATATTGATTAATTTTATATGGCCTAACAGTCTTAGCAGATATTCAAATACTTGAATTTTTATAAAGTTTTTAAAAATATAATCTCTAAATAAAATTAAATACCTGGCGCAAGGACAGTAAACAATAGCCTAAAGAAATAAAATATTTCAACTATTTAAAAACAAGAATATACAAATATATACAGGCATGTAGTATCATTTATGGCAGCCAGAAAAATTATTTTACACTTAATTGAAAAAAATTAATACAAACATTTACAATTTTGCAGGTTTATGAAAGGATTTATTATTTTTATAATCTTCATTACATTAATATTTTAGAATAATTTCTACCTAACACACATTAAAAACAAAAATGAAGATATATTAAAAGAGATTTAAAAAATTAATTTTTAAAAAAAATCTGTATTTTGTCCAACATCAAAAGATTTATATCATGCCCCCAACTGGTAGATGATGAAATAAACAATTAAAGGTTGTATTTTCCCATTTGTAACCTTTATGTGTCCAGTGACAACAAGCTTGTGAGAGCAAAATAAAGGCAAAAATTAATGTAGAAAAGTCGATAATGTATCCAAAATATAATTTTAATTTTTTTTAAAGTTTGACACTAATCATTAACAATATGTAAGGTATGACAATTATCATTATGTTGGGATTACATTTCTAATGTCTATAATTGTTTGAATTGACTATTTCTTTATAGGATCAAATTACTATGTAAGAATTTTGTCTACTATTGATCGAGAATTGTTGAAACCATCTGCCAGTGTAGCTCTCCACAAACACAGCAATGCTCTAGTAGATGTATTACCACCTGAAGCTGACAGCAGCATCACTATGTTACAAGCAGGTATGTATGTTTGGTAATGTTGCCAGTGGACCATAAGAAATTTGTTTCAATCCATTCTGATGTTGATGTTGATTTTGTTGTTTTTCACTCATCTGTAGATGAGAAACCTGATGTTCAGTACTCAGACATTGGAGGGATGGACATTCAGAAGCAGGAAGTCAGGGAGGCAGTGGAGCTCCCCCTAACTCACTTTGACCTCTATAAACAGATTGGTATAGACCCTCCCAGAGGGGTCCTTATGTATGGTCCCCCTGGCTGTGGTAAAACTATGTTAGCAAAAGCCGTGGCTCATCACACAACAGGTACTGATGATCTTTGCTACACAGAATTTAAAAAAAAATGGATTTTTTCTAATATAGTATTGACTTTTTATTTGATACTGATATAAATAATTAAATTCAGTCTGTTTACACTTTTCTAGCTGCCTTTATAAGAGTGGTGGGCTCAGAATTTGTGCAGAAGTACTTAGGAGAGGGCCCTCGTATGGTCAGAGATGTGTTCAGATTAGCCAAGGAAAATGCCCCAGCTATTATATTTATAGATGAAATCGATGCTATAGCAACCAAAAGATTTGATGCTCAGACTGGAGGTATGCATAAAGAGGGGGATTCTGTGAATAGAAAATAAAACTATTGAAAATCTTTACAAAGAATTTGAGGGGCCAGTGGTACACAAAATCTTTTAAATAGATTAAATCGCTCTCAAAGAATTGAAGGATCTTTGATTGAATTGCATTTTATCATAATCTTGCATATTGTACAAATCATGAAATGCATATTAATTGTCATGATAAGAGACAATAATTAAATATTTTAAGAAAATATTTACCACAAAAAATATGAAGCTCTTTTATTTTTTCATGCAATAGACTATTATTGCAATATTGTATTGTATAAAACTGATTATTTACTCTTAATCTGTCACTGTTCAAATGTCATGAAAATCATACAAAACAGTTCAACATCTGCTTTTCCACAGACTTTAATTATGATTCACTTTAGATGTTCACATTCTCTACAAAATTTACATGCACGTCATGATTTTTAATAGCTGACAGAGAAGTGCAAAGAATTTTATTAGAGTTACTCAACCAGATGGATGGGTTTGATCAGACTGTCAATGTTAAGGTGAGCAGTTTTATTAACGTACACTTTGTGTTGAACATGTATTTGATTTGAATTGTTCACTTTTATTAAAGTTGTATACTAATATACATGTATTTCTCATTAGGTCATAATGGCAACAAATCGAGCCGATACTTTGGATCCGGCACTTCTACGACCAGGTCGTTTAGATAGGAAAATTGAATTCCCTATCCCCGATCGTCGACAGAAAAGATTAATTTTCTCCACCATTACCAGTAAAATGAATGTGAGTGAGGAGGTGGATCTAGAAGATTATGTGGCCAGACCAGACAAGATTAGTGGTGCTGACATTAATGCTATATGTCAGGAGGTGAGACAGTATACCTTTCATTGGCAAAATGCTGCTTCTTGCAAACACTATAAAAAGAAAAATAGGCATGAAAGCATATTTTTTCATAAGTTTATACCATCAACCTTGAAAGTCAAATCAGAATTTTTATATTAATATCATTAGATTGCACCATGCAGAATAAATGAACAAAAAATGAATTTCAGAGAAGGTGGGTCATTCCATTTGAGACTCAACAATTATAACAAGGATATTAAGTTGTTCTGTGCCAAAATTACATGGATCAATAGATGTCCTTGACTTATATAATAATAATTCTCTAATGAAATGCATTTTATTTAAATATATATTTATTATTTTATAACTTTAGGCAGGGATGCAGGCTGTCAGAGAAAACAGATATATAGTGCTGGCAAAAGACTTTGAGAAGGGTTACAAAAACAACATTAAGAAGGATGAAACAGAACATGAGTTCTATAAGTAACTTTGTGTGATAGAAAGAATTTCTGTATTATATCAAATAAAATTTTCAATGTTTATTGTCAAATTTGAAAATCTACTACAAACAGTTGAACTCGAGTGATATTATTTACTGGCTTAGAATATTGGGTTGAAATTTGATAATGTATCTTCCAGTTCACATGAGTGGATACCAGTCCAATGCGTTACTGGAGAAATAGCTTTTTGAAGGAAACATTCAAAGAATTTTTTTATATGAAAAAAACCCCCCAAAAACTAAGGTGTATCCCAATAAATTTGATGATCAGTGTTTGGATCATTATTAAGTATAAGGGTTTTTAGCTCACCTGAGCCGAAGGCTCAAGTGAGCTTTTCTGATCACATTTTGTCCGTCGTCCGTCTAGCTGTCCGTCTGTCTGTCTGTCTGTAAACTTTTCACATTTTCGACTTCTTCTCAAGAACCACTGGGCCAATTTTGACCAAACTTGGTACAAAGCATCCTTGGGTGAAGGGAAATTTAAATTGTTAAAATAAAGGGCCAAGTCCCCTCACAAGGGGAGATAATCAAGAAAAGTCAAAAATAGGGTGGGGTCATAAAAAAATCTTCTTCTCAAGAACCACTGGGTCAGAAAAGCTGAAACTTAAGTGGAAGCATCCTAGGGTAGTGTAGATTCTAAATTATTCAAATCATGACCCCCGGGGGAAGGGCGGGGCCACAATGGGGAATCAAAGTTTAACATAGAAATATAGAGGAAAAATCTTTGAAAATCTTCTTCTCAAGAACCACTGTGCCAGAAAAGCTGAAACTTATGTGGAAGCATTCTGGGATAGTGTAGATTCTAAATTGTAAAAATCATGACCCCCGGGGGAAGGGCGGGGCCACAATTTGTAATCAAAGTTTTACATAGAAATATATAGGAAAAATCTTTGAAAATTTTCTTCTCAAGAACCACTGGGCCAGAAAAGCTGAAACTTATGTGCACATGGAAGGATCCTGGGGTAGTGTAGATTTTAAATTCTCTAAATTATGATCAGTAGGGTAGGGTGGGGATGCATTATGTATTACAAGGGGGAAATCTGGTAAAGAACAGAATGGTCAAAGCTTCTCAGGTGAGCGATGTGGCCCATGGGCCTCTTGTTTCTATACAAAAGGAAACTTTATTTTGTGTAGGACTATCTTGGTAAACACATGGGGATCACTTTGCCCTCTTTTACGGTCATAATAAAAAGAAATCTTGAACTTCCTGGAATCAGTTCAATACGGACCTCATCTATTTAATGGAGAGTTCAAGATCTCTTTAACAAAAATATGCAATTATCATTTGATATATGTAAGTGTACTTTATACACATTGGTAACAAAATTTATTATTCATATTGGGAGGGTTTATCAGGGAAAAAGTTGTCATCTGTTCAAAAGTCAAATGAGTCACTCGGATGACAAATTGTTATCTATTTTGTTTGACAGAAAGCTTTTCCACCTTTTGAAGGTGCTCAAATGACTATATAAGAGCAAGATGTGCTTGTGAAACACTGATGCCCCCTTATGGCAGTCAATGGTGAGGGTTGAATTTTCTCAAATGTAACCTCCAAGGTCACAATTGTTGGTATCCAATGGAAGGCCTTGTCTCAAGAATACAGCTGTGACATATGAAAGCCCTAGTGCCCAGTGTTCAAAAGTTGTGGCCAAGGTTGAAGTTTTTAAGAAATGGGTCAAGGTAAAAATTGTTGGTATCCAAAGAAAGGTCTTGTAAGAAGGAACATATCTGTAAGATATGAAAGCCCTAGTCCTAGTGTTCAAAAGTTATGGTTCAAGTTTTTAAAAAACAGACCAAACTCCAAGAAGAAGGTCAAAATTGTCGGTATCAAAAGAAAGGTCATGTCATACGGAATGCTCCTGTCAAATTTGAAAGCTCTTGTGCCTAGAGTTCAAAAGTTATGGCCTGGATTAAACATCATAAAAAGTAGGTCAAGGTCCAAGGTCAAAACTTGGTATCCTTGGAAAGATTTTGTCACAAGTTGTACACCTGTGGAATATGAAAGCCCTAGTGCCAGCTTTTCAGAAGTTATGGCCAATATTAATGTTTTTTTTAATATGTCAACTCCAAGGACAAAGTCAAAATTGTCGATATCAAAAGGAAGGTCTTGTCACAAGTAATACACAAGTGAAACATGAAAGCCCTAGTCCAACTGTTCTAAAGTCAACACCAAGGTCAAAGTTTGATAATTTTTTGTAGAATGGGTCAAACTCCAAGGTCAAGGTCACGATGTCTTTTGTGGTACCCAAAGAAAGATCTTGTAACAAGGGAATATACCTACGTTATATGAAAGCCATAGCCCCACCCATTCAAAAGTTATGGACAAGGTAAAAAATTTTGCGGCCAAACAGATAGACGGATGGACGTGGCAAAACTACATATACCCTTGAATTTTTCGGTTACGGAGACATAAAATGCATTCATAATTCATACTTCAGTTAGTGACCTATTATTATACCCCCCGCTTGAAAAGCGGGAGGGTATATAGTAATCGTTAATTCCGTCCGTCCGTCCGTCCGTCTGTCTGTCAGTCCATCCTTCCGTCCGTCTGTTACGCTTTGGGGTACCCATCTCTTATCCGCAACTCCTCTCATACCACTGAATGAAATTTGATGAAACTTTCACAGAATCTTTATTAATTACATATTGCCATTGTGCACCTCCTATTTTACTTTTTGATCCGACGCATATTTTGGGTTTTCCGGCCACAGCAAAACATGGACTTTGCCATTATAACTATATGGAGGCGGGGGGTATCATTTAGTGAGCTCATCGCTCACAGTACCTCTAGTTTTTATTATACCCCCCGCTTGAAAAGCGGGAGGGTATATAGTAATCGTTAATTCCGTCCGTCTGTACCTCTGTCCGTCCGTCCGTCCGTCTGTTACGCTTTAGGGTACCCATCTCTTATCCGCAACTCCTCTTATACCAATGAGTGAAATTTAATGAAACTTTCACAGAATCTTTATTATATATTGCCATTGTGCACCTCCTATTTTACTTTTTGATCCGACACACATTTTGGGTTTCCCGGTCAGAGCAAAACATGGACTTTGTCATCAGTTATAATCATATGGGAGGCGGGGGGTATCATTTAGTGAGCTCATTGCTCACAGTACCTCTAGTTTAGATAGACGTCTTTATTTACGCAATTTTAAATGATAAGGCATATACGTATAACATAAGCAGCACAACAAAAATCAAATGAACAATTGGAATTACTAATTTTAAATTTTTTTAAAAACACACTCTAAAATAAGTTAATTTAATAACCAATTTGCGCTCGTTTTTCTGTCAACATCAGCAATTTTCAGCTTTATTATTAGCTTTTCTTCCCGCTAAACCACAACACTTTTTGCAGACGATTGCCACACTTCCTCCAACTCCAACAGCAGCGACAACAACCAGAGAAACCATAACGTACTCCCATCCCGGCAGTCCTAGCAGCTTCTTATCTAATTCCGATTCCTCTAATTCAATAGGTAAAAAAGGCGGCGTCGATAGGGCTCCTTTTTCCATATCAAATGGTCCTATGATTTCATCCGTGGAGTCGTAGTTTGTGTGTATTGATTCTTCCTTTTGGGGAGCAGACTCTTTGCTTGAATGAGGTGAACCAGGTATGCCTAGTTCCTGTTGGTTGTTGATTTTGTTTAAACTGATGCCTATATTGGTAATAATAAATTTAATAATTATAATTTGCCTAATCAAGGATATATCATAACTGATTCTAACGGCAAAGAATAAAAGCTTGACATCACAGTCATACCTGTAAAGGGTATGATTTTTATGTCCCTGTTCATGGTTTTTTTTTAAGGTCACTCAGGTGATCTCTTTCAATCTCGTTTCGTCCGTCTTGAGTCAGGTCCAATTCTAAATTTTTTGAAAATTTCCAGCTTCTGAAATAGCTGAACCAATTTTGCTATGTAGAAACTAGTGGCAAAGGGGAAATTGAGCATAAATTTTTGAATTCATACCCCCTTTGGTATTAGGGATAGGACCAATAGCGTACGTCAAAATACAATGAAGCGCATTGAAGTGGTAAAATTTCCCGTTGGAATGGAACGTTTTGAGCTATCTTTAGAACGTTGATTGTCATACAATGACGCCCATTTCTTTAGAAAGTAAAAATCGGTCGCATGGTTCATTGGAATACCTGTAGAACAGGTATTCTAAAAATATAATATCCAATCAAATTGACAGTCTACATAAACACAGAGTACGCACGTGTTCGACCAATACATGTGTTATGGAAACTCCAATAAACAGATAAATTCATAATTATGTACAAATTCGTTGCAATACTTGTTTTATAGAAGGTGGAACTCTCTAAATCTCTCTTATAACTTTAAAAATCTCGATTTCAGTGAAACTGATGTTGCTTTTTGTAAAGAGTGGGGTGTCCTAAAACATTACCACGAATATTTCTTGTACGTTTCTAAAGAAATGGGCGTGTCATTCTGTAATAATTGACGTTCAAAACATGACTCAGAACGTTTCATCCAAACGGAAAATTTTACCACTTCAATGCGCTTCATTGTAAATGCCGTCTTCAAAATCTTAAATTCTTGACATCGAGCAGTCAAACTTTTGGCATAATTATGATACACATGAAGCACTACTTTACCTGAATTCAGTTGTTTGTTCATGGAGCGAGCCAATAAGGATTGTGTCGCTATGGAAACCAGAATAATCAGGATCCTGAATTAGAAAATTGAAAATCATTATATAAAGTGTTAATCGAAACGTTAAACCAAATAAATAATCTTACGAGATAGGAATACGCACAAGAGTATGAAACCGAACATGTCAAATAAAGAAACACTTATAGGTACATCCAAAAAATAATAATACCAAACTGTTATATTAATGATATGCTAGAACTGAAGATAACACTCGCAATTTAAAATGCAAATATATTAGACAAAAAGGCTTATAACAAAAGAAACATACAAAAAGTATTGGTCCATGCCAATTGTAAAATACTACTACTTGTTCAATGATAACCAGAAAACAAGTCTGATTCCTACGGTAAATTATATTT